GTGTGGGTGCCGTCCGTGGTGCGGGTGCCGTCCGTGGTGCGGGTGCCGTCCGTGGTGCAGGTGCCGTCCGTGGTGGGGGTGACGTCCATGGTGCGGGTGACGTCCGTGGTGCGGGTGCCGTCCGTGGTGCAGGTGCCGTCCGTGGTGCGGGTGCCGTCCGTGGTGCGGGTGACGTCCGTGGTGCGGGTGACGTCCGTGATGTGGGTGATGTCCGTGGTGCAAATGACGTCCGTGGTGTGGGTGACGTCCGTGGTGCAGGTGACGTCCGTGGTGCAGGTGACGTCCGTGATGTGGGTGACGTCCGTGGTGCGGGTGCCGTCCGTGGTGTGGGTGACGTCCGTGATGTGGGTGACGTCCGTGGTGCGGGTGACATCCGTGGTGCGGGTGACGTCCGTGGTGTGGGTGACGTCCATGGTGCGGGTGACGTCCGTGGTGCGGGTGACGTCCGTGGTGCGGGTGTCGTCCATGGTGCGGGTGACGTCCGTGGTGTGGGTGAGGTCCGTGGTGTGGGTGACGTCTGTGGTGCGGGTGACATCCGTGGTGCGGGTGACGTCCGTGATGTGGGTGACGTCCGTGGTGCGAATGACGTCCGTGGTATGGGTGCCGTCCGTAGTGTGGGTGACATCCGTGGTGCGGGTGCCGTCTGTGGTGCGGGTGCCGTCCGTGGTGCGTGTGTCGTCCGTGGTGCGGGTGACGTCCGTGGTGCGGGTGACATCCGTGGTGCGGGTGATGTCCGTGGTGCGGGTGCCGTCCGTGGTGCGGTTGACGTCTGTGGTGCGGATGACGTCCGTGGTGCGGGTGACGTCCGTGGTGCGGGTGACGTCCGTGATGTGAGTGCCGTCCATAGTGTGGGTGACATCCGTGGTGCGGGTGCCGTCCATGGTGTGGGTGACGTCCGTGATGCGGGTGACGTCCGTGGTGCGGGTGACGTCCGTGGTGCGGGTGACGTCTGTGGTGCGGGTGACGTCCGTGGTGCGGGTGACGTCCGTGGTGCAGGTGACGTCCGTGGTGCAGGTGCCGTCCGTGGTGCGGGTGACGTCCATGGTGCGAGTGACGTCCGTGATGTGGGTGCCGTCCGTGGTGCCAGTGACGTCCATGGTGCGGGTGACGTCCGTGGTGTGGGTGACGTCCGTGGTGCGAGTGACGTCCGTGGTGCGGGTGCCGTCCATGGTGCGAGTGACGTCCGTGGTGCGGGGGACGTCCGTGATGCGGGTGACGTCCATGGTGCAGGTGACGTCCATGGTGCAGGTGACGTCCGTGATGCGGGTGACGTCCGTGGTGCGGGTGACGTCCGTGGTGCGGGTGATGTCCGTAGTGTGGGTGACGTCCGTGGTGCAGGTGACGTCCGTGGTGCGGGTAACATCCGTGATGCGGCTGACGTCCGTGGTGCCAGTGATGTCCGTGGTGCGGGTGACGTCCGTGGTGCGGGTGACGTCCGTGGTGCGAGTGACGTCCTTGGTGCAGGTGACGTCCGTGGTGCAGGTGACGTCCGTGGTGCGGGTGCCGTCCGTGGTGCAGGTGACGTCCGTGATGCGGGTGCCGTCCGTGGTGCGGGTGACGTCCGTGGTGCGAGTGACGTCCATGGTGCGGGTGACGTCCGTGATGCGGGTGACGTCCGTGGTGCGAGTGATGTCCGTGGTGCGGGTGACGTCCATGGTGCGGGTGACGTCCGTGGTGCGGGTGATGTCCGTGGTGCAGGTGACGTCCGTGGTGTGAGTGACGTCCGTGGTGCGAGTGACGTCCGTGGTGCGGCTGACGTCCGTGGTGCAGGTGACGTCCGTGGTGCAAGTGACGTCGGCGGTGCGGGTGACGTCCGTGGTGCGGGTGACGTCCGTGGTGCGGGTGACGTCCGTGGTGCGGGTG